AAAGGATAATTAAGTAGAGAACAACGGTTGACTAATAAAAGTAAAAAGCCCCACACGAGAATGCATTGAGGTGGTGATATTCACTATTATTATTTTACTCGACTCGAATTGAATCCTTCGACCTTTGATAGTTTTCCCTTTCTACATGAATGGGTGGTGACTATTAATATAATTCTCTTCAAGAACTATCATATGCTAAATAAATTAGCAAATGGATACATTCACACAATATAATAGTTTATTCTTAGACAAGCTCCATTCACGAGGAAGGAATATCCTCGTATTCATTCACAAACATCATCATGCCACCATATATACGAGATCTGTATTTGTATTACACCACATGATAATATAAACTTCCAAACAGAAAAAAGAAACAGGAAAGCAAATTAAGAGGAAACACACAGACACACACAAGTGGATTAGCAAGCACAATACTCCATATCATTTTGCCTTAATTAAGATGGTACGACTCGATATCTTTTGAGAGGTTAATGAGAACACCCAAAAATGTGAGTGGCTCTTCAATGTCGTCCTTCAACTTTTCATAATCAAGGATCCATGTTACCAAATCAATGTCATCATGTGTTTCAACATGGAAACTGATTTTAAAGACTTTGTCTAACTCGATTAGATCACCCTCGATCACATTGAATGTCAGTGACCTCTTTTCCTTGTCAATGGCTTCAACGATATCTTTCGCTACTTTCTGCTTCCCATCTACAGTTAAATGAAAGTGATAAGAATCTTGAATGCACATATTATTTAACTTAGACATATCAATTATTCTTTTCAGTGGAATAATTTTTCTTCACTGAGCTCAATTATACTAGGCCGAAGTGAACACAACTGCATTTGATTTAAACCCTGTTGGTTCAGATAAAATCATATTTTTACTAAATTTTGATAAAAGTTGATGGAATGTATGTTTGAAAAGTTGTGGATCCCGTAAAATATGTAATTAGCTTTTGTATTTGAACCAAACATGTGTTAAATACACATAAGAAATATCAATTGAACCAAGAGCTGATTTTTCCTAATTTTGGAAATACTTAATTCAACAAATAGCTGATTTTTCCTAATTTTGAACCAAGAGTGAATGTTAAGGGTAAATATCTCAATATGATATCGAATCACATTAATCACAAACGAGTAAATGAGTAAACAAATTTCAAGATTGGTGTTCTCAATGATACCATCTTGTGAGATCATGTTAAGAGAAAATCCCAAAGAATAAATGAAATAAATTTACAACATATAAGGATTTGAATTACTCTTAATAATGTTGACCTTTTAAATGAACCGATTCTTAATAGTGGATGATTCAGATAGCATAAATATTAATATAAACAATGGTGATGATGGAAATTATAGGAACATTACCATATTTCAAGCCACAGGAAATACATATATAAAAAGCATAATAGAAGCCTACCATGAGTAAACTTCTAGAAGTAGACAGAGCCTACAGTTCCCCATTCTCCTTAATGCAAATCACAGCCGTGAATTGTATTGGGGCTGATGCTGGGTATTTGGTGTGGTGAGTTACTTAACAATTCATGAAATACATCTCCACCAGCCTTCATCTCTATTTGGGCTGTTCATTTACCTTTGAGACCCATAATTTTTCTTTTTTTTTGGGTAGTGAAAAGAATCAAAATTTTGTTTATAAGGTAACAGGTACTAACAAGTCGAAGTAAAGACAGGGATATCACTCTCAATCTTTATGCATCTATTTATAGATCCATCGTGATGATGAAAATCGATGCATGTTGTCTATTAACACATTTTTTACCTGTTTTTTGATGTAGTTTATGTCATTATTTTATTCGATTAAGACATGAATACTATCCTAGACATTTATAACATGGCCATGAATGAAAACCTTGGTCAGCAAATTATTGTGCTTATAACCCTTGACAGCTTTACTAGCCCCACTCTAGAAAGCAATTGCTTCTACTTTAAATGTGTCGTTATGCTATTCATGAATTGCCCTTTTTGTAAAAAAGGTTATCTCGGTTTCTTCTAAACTCTTAAAATGAGATAATTTACTTTCAAATAAGTATTCGATCCAAAAGCAATTTCTAGTTCTTACAAATAGTTTTTGACTTTTAACAACCAATGGATCCATAGTCATCCAACTTAACTTTTCCAACTCACCTCTATTGACTTTATTAACATCAGATTCAAGGACTTTTCCCGGTTTTCAATTCTTTTTTATCTCGACAACTATTTCCACTATGTCAGGTTTTTAGCTGTATTGACAATTCTTTAGACAAAATGATTATTATAAAAGAGTTGTAAAAGTCAAGAAAGCTTTTGAGGGTTTGTATAGATGAATTAACAGTTCATTAATTATTACATGAAATTCAATCTACTTTTGTAGATTATTAATTGAGATGGACTTGCATTTAGAGGTTTCATATAGCATATGCGATTATGGACCATGCTAGTGGTACATCAAGATTTATATCGGGGTTTACACCTCTCTCACATGGGAGTTGGGGTCCACTCGAATAAAAAAACATTATTTCAATGGATCCCACCTCCCATGTGAGAGTGATGTAT